GAGGCGACATCACTAATTAAAGAATTGTGTGCTGTCCTGAAAAAAATAGGGAATATGGTGATAAACGTATATCAAATAAAGTTAAAATCTATAAGGTCCTTGATATTAAGTAGAGGATTATAGCAAAAAGGTAAAATAAAATAATGTATGTGTAATTTTTTATAAGTTTAATTTATTCTGTATTTTATTGTATTATTATTACACTGTTGTTGCTGTAGCTTTCCAGATGGACAGGGCTGGGCTGGAATTCTGGGTCCTCCACTCACAAGCTGTGTGAACCTGGGCAGAGATAGGCAATCCCTGAGATTGAGAGGTCAGCAAAGAAGGCAAAGGTGGGACACAAACACGCTCACTGGCTTACGACCACAGGGGAATCCAGGCCCCAGCTAGGGACCCCGGAGACAGGTCCGCTGGCTGGGTCCTTCTCTGCCCCTGCTCTCTCATCCTTGGGTCCGCTCCGGTTTGGTGCAGCAGGTGGCAGTGTTCCAAGAGAGCCAAGCTTGTGCACACGTGCCTTTGGAGCTCCTGCTTGCATCACATTTGCTGATGTCCCACTGGCCACAGCAAGTCACTTGGACAAGTCCCAAGTCCATGTGGGAGGGGGCCACGCAAAAGCATGGATATCGAGAGGTGTGGTTCACGGGGGACCGTTAATGTGATAGCATTACAATGGAATGGACAGCGTCATGTGCAAGGCACGCTTGACCCTCAGCCCCTACTCACAAGCTCAAGTGAGACCTTCCCAGGAGCAGCCAGAGCATAAGCAGGTAAGACCAGCAGATGGGGCCGGCGCTGGTACAGTCCGAATTATTTCAGGGGACTGTTGCTTTGGTAGGAGGGTTGAACCAGGGTCGGGGCAGCCCAGGGGAGGCCATCAGAGGCCCAGTAGGGCAAGAGGTGAAAAACACAGGCTCTGGAACAGGGAGACCTGAGTTCAGGTCTTGACTTTGCCATTTACTTGTTCATAGCTCTGGGCAAGGAACTTCCCCACTTTGGCATCTTCATCTGTAAAACTGACCTCACATGTTGTTATAAGAGTTAAATGAGATCAGTAGAGCTTAGCACAAAGAAGTGGTCCGTGAATGGTAGTGGTTGTGGCCAGTGTGGCAGGAGTGGTGGTGAATAGAATGATAGTCAGTGATGACGGGGGACAGAGGGCAGGAGTGCTCCGGATGAGCAGTGAGCCCTGGACGGGTGAGGGTATCCCGGGCAGATGGAACAGTATGTTCAAAGACATGGGGGTAGGATGAGTTTCATGGCCTTAACACACTGTGATGCTGTTGGAGCAACTGGAGGTGGGGGGCATACAGATTGTGTTTTCCCAAGAGGCCATAGGACTCTCTCCCATCCCCCATGCTCTTCCAACAGTGTGGCTGTTATGGGCTGAATTGAGTCCCTCCCAATTCATACGTCGAAGCCTAACCCTAGTACTTTGCAATGTGGAGGGAAGGTCTTTAAAAAGGTGATTAAGTTGAAATGAGGCTGTTAGCGTGGGCCCTAATCCAATCTGACTGGTGTGCTGATAAGAGGAAATTTGGACACACAGAGACCTAGGGGTGGGCATGCAGAGGGAAGACCAGGTGAGAACAGAGCAAGAGGGCCACCATCTGCAAGCTAAGAGGAGAAGCCCCAGGAGAAACCAAACCCGCTGACACCTTGATCTTGGATTTTTAGTCTCCAGAACTATGGGAAATACATTTTTATTGTTTAAGCCACTCTGTCTGTGGTATATTGTGGCAGCCTTAGCAAATCACTACAGTGACCTTGGCATTCCTCCCATTTTGGAGGTCCATGTTCTTTCCCCTTGAAGCTGGGTGGAAACATTCACACTTGAGCCAAGCGGCCATGCTGGCTGGAAGCCCGAGCCCGCGTGGAGGGGCCACATGGAGAGACCCTACGTAGCTGTTCCTATTGACGACCTCACTGAGGTCCCAGCTGACACCCAGTGCCAGTCAGCACACACGTGAGTGAAGGCACCTCCAGATGATCCCAGCTCCCAGCTGTTGAGTCAGCCCCAACCCCAAGTCTTCCCAGCTGATGCCCCAGATAGGTGGGACGGAGACAAGCTATGCCTACTGTGCCCTTTCCATATTTGGGACCTGCAGAATTTAGGAGCATAATAAAATGGTTGTTTCCTCCACTAAGTTTTTAGGAAGTTTGTTACACAACACCATGAATTCCCAAAGGCTCTTCTAGAGCAGCTCCCACAGGCCTGGCTCTCGCCCATAAAGGCAAGGACCCCCTCTCTCCATCCGGTGCACTCCCCAGCCTTGATGCCGAGCTGTTGCTGCCACCTGGTGGCCAATGGAAAGAATGCAAGACCCACTGTTCTCCCGTTTTTTTGGTTTTATTAATTAATTAATTAATTTATTTATTTATTGACTTATTATTTATTTACTTATTTATTTTAAATTTTACTTGATTAACATACAGTGCAATATTGGTTTCTGGAGTAGAATTCAGTGATTCATCACTTACATACAACACCCAGTGCTCATCACAACAGGTGTCCTCTTTAATACCCATCAGCCATCTAGTCCATCTCCCACCCACCTCCCTCCACCCCCCCTCAGTTTGTTCTCTATCATTAAGAGTCTCTTGGGGCGCCTGGGTGGCTCAGTAAGTTAAGCGTCCGACTCTTGATTTCAGCTTAGGTCTTGATCTCGAGGTCGTGAGGTCAAGCCCCGTACTGGGCTCCACGCTGGGTGTGGAGCCTACTTTATTATTTTTTTTAAAGATTTTATTTCTTCATTTGAGAGAGAGAGAAAGAGACAAAGAGAGCACAAGCAGAGGGGAGGGGCAGAGGGAGAGGGAGAAGCAGACTCCCCGCTGAGCTGGGAGCCCAACATGGGGCTCCATCCCAGGACCCGGAGATTGTGACCTGAGCCCAAGGCAGACGCCCAACCATCTGAGCCACGCAGGTGCCCCTGGAGCCTACTTTTTTAAAAAAAGTCTTTTATGGCTTGTTTCCCTCTCTCCTTTTTTTCTTTTCCCTTCCCGTATGTTCATCTGTTTTCTTTCTTAAATTCTACCTATGAGTGAGATCATATGGTATTTGTCTTTCTCTGACTGACTTATTTCACTTAGCATAATACCCTCTAGTTCCAGCCACATTGTTGCAAATGGCAAGATTTCATTCCTTTTGATGGCTGAGTCATATTCCATTGTGTATATATAACACAACTTCTTTATGCATTCATCAGTCGATGGACATTTGGGCTCTCTCCAGAGTTTGGCTGTTGTTGATAATGCTCCCTTTCTTTTTATTTATTTTTCCTGATTTTCCTATTGCTCCCTTTCTCTTTAAGAGAAGCTTATTCTCACTCATTCTTTCATTCCACAGACATTCACAATCCCTGATGGTGGTGGGTCAAGTGTAGTTTTAAAGCATAATCTAACATTACTGGTTCTTTTTTTAAAAATTTTTTTATTGTTATGTTAATCACCATATATTACATCATTAGTTTTTGATGCAGTGTTCCATGATTCATTGTTTGTTCATGACACCCAGTGCTCCATGCAGAATGTGCCCTCTTTAATACCCATCACCAGGCTAACCCATCCCCCCACCCCCTCCCCTCTAGAACCCTCAGTTTGTTTCTCAGAATCCATCATCTCTCATGGTTCGTCTCCCCCTCTGACATACTCCCCTTTTCTTCCTCTCCTGTTATCTTCTTCTTTTTCTTTTTTCTTAAAATATGTTGCGTTATTTGTTTCAGAAGTACAGATCTGTGATTCAACAGTCTTGCACAATTCACAGCGCTCACCGTAGCACATACCCTCCCCAATGTCTATCACCCCCCCCAGCCACCCCATCCCTCCCACCCCCCACCACTCCAGTAACACTCAGTTTGTTTCCTGAGATTAAGAATTCCTCATATCAGTGAGGTCATAACATTACTGCTTCTTATATGCTTTTGTCTGTGGTCATGAGATTTCAAGTCCTCAATCCCTTAAACTTTCTTCTAAAATCCAAAATTCTCTGAAAACGGAAAGATTTTCGTCAGTTTACAAAACCTCGCTCAGTAGCTAGGCCTCATCTGAACTGACATGAGGCTATGTATCCTCTCTCATTAACATTTCCCAGCAGAAATATTAGTGTTTGAATATGCCCTAGACTCCTCTAGGGGTGTTATATAATAGGGAGCACTGGTTCTCAAAGTGTGGTCCCCAGACCAGCAGCATCAGTGTCCACTGGGAACTTGTCAAACATGGAAATTCTCAGGCTCCACCCCAGCCCTACTGAATCAAAAACTGTGGGATGGGGTCTAGCCATCTGTGCTTTAATGATCCCTAATGGTGATTCTGGCTCTTGTTTAAGTGTGAGAATCACGGTCTCATGAGTATATACTCTAGAGAGTATATGCATCACATTGCATTGATAAAACCCAAAGAAACCTGAATTCCAAAGCACATTTGGTCCCCATGGTTTCAGATAAGAGATTCCTTGCAGACTTGTATTTTGAAATTTGAAGTCACGTTAAAGGAAGCCATGAAATCTTTATGTTTAAGAGGGCAGTGGGGATGCCTGGATGGCTCAGTCAGTTAAGGTTAAGCGTCTGCCTTCGGCTCAGGTCATGATCTCCAGGTCCTGGGATCGAGCTCCACGTTGGGCTCCCTGCTCAGCGGGGTGTCTGCTTCTTCCTTTCCCCCTGCTGCTCCCCGCCTTGCTCGTACTCTCTCCTTCTCTTAAATAAATAAATAGATAAATAAATAAATAAAATCTTAAAAACAAGTAAAAAGAAAGAGGGTAGTGATTCCTTGTAGAAAGGGTGATTCATAATAATAAAAGTCAACTTCTCCTGAGTGTTTACAACCTACCAGGCACTGTGGCAAGTGCCTACACTCACCAAGTCCACACAATGAACTTAGAAAGTGGGCATTTTCATCATTCCCATTTTATGAGTGGGGAAACTGAGGCCAGGGGCGTGAGCAATTACCAAAGCACGGAGAGGGCCACCAACAGGAGCTGTGGCCTCCAGTAGAGGAACACAGCTAACTCACATGGCCTTGTTTCTTCAGCACTGTGAATCCTGGGGCACCTCCCTTTGGCTAAACTCTACAAGTCAGAGGACAAGGGCATCCCTATAGCTTAACCCGCAGTGGGGCTGAGCAGGGTAAAAGATGGAGAATAGGGGCCATGTGTTATATATATATAAAAAAGCAACTTGCTTTTTTCTCTCACATTTTGTTTTCCATATGTATCTATGTTGATACAGGTGGATTTATTTCAGTTCATTTTCTCTGCTCTTTAGCATCCCATCATATTCAAATAGGCCTTCACTTATTCGTATCAATTCCCCTATTGGTGGGTAGTTAGAATGTTGCCCATCTTTTGCTATTACAAATAAAACTACAATAAATATTCCTAGACTTCTCTTTTCCTACACAGGTGGGAGTCTCTCTGCAGGCCAGGGGCTCCTAAAAGTGGAGTTGCTGGGGCACAGGACGTGGACCTGCCTATCCAACTTTTCCAAACAATGCTAAATTTCGAAGTGGTTGTACCACTGTTTAGTTCCCCTTACTCCAAGGGGTTCCTGTCATATCCCTGGGCTGTCCCTCACTTGAAAGGACTTTTTTTGCCTTTCTGACAGCCATTCAACTTTTCTCTCCTGAATGTCTTACTTGCGTTTCCCCAAGAATTCCGAAGCTGAGCACCTCTCCAGCCAATCTCTTATGTGAGGATAAGCATCTTGCCTTCTCACTTAGGCTGTGCCTGTTCATCTTCCAAGCCTAGATTTCTAGAAAGCCAAAAGCCCTTTCCTCTCTTGCCTGAGGCAGTAACACATGAAAAGTGCCACCTGGGCCGTGGGTGTCACCACTCGGAACTGGAGAGCGACTTTGTTTGCTCTGTGTGGTATCTGTCCTTCCCCAGAGGCAAAGAGTGACAGCAGCTGATGGGCACCCAGCTGAGGGCAAGAGCGGTAGCAACAATAAAACAAAAATCGTGGGGAAGAAAACCTAAACCTGTCTGCTTTTTCCAAAATATTGCCACATTTCCCAGAGCTGTTTACTGAACCCTAGGGCATGCTGGGACCGGTGACCTGTTCTCCGTAAACCCTTCCAACATCTTGTAAAGCAGGGCCACTTCACCCGCTCCACAGATCCTCCCTGTGCTCCTAAGTGCCGGGCCTTGTTAGGCCCTGGGAATTCAGTGGCAGACAAGACAGACCTGGTCCCCGCTGGTGGTGCTCACCATCTATGTCAGTCTGTCAGGCCTGCCATGACAAAAGACACACACGAGGTGGGGGTGGGGGGGCTGTCAGCAGGGTTGGTTTTTCTGAGGACTCTTGGGCTTGCAGCTGGCTGTCTTCTCCCTTTGTCTTTTTTTTTTTCTTTTAAAGATTTTATTTATTTATTTGACAGAGAGAGAGAGAGAGAGAGAGAGAGAGAGCATGAGCAGGGAGAGGGGCAGAGGCAGAGGGAGAAGCCGGCTCCCCATGGAGCAAGGAGCCCGATGCGGAGCTCAATCCCAGGACCCTGGGATCATGACCTGAGCCGAAGGCAGACATTTAAAGACTGAGCCACCCAGGCGCCCCTCCCTGTGTCTCTACAGTGTTTTCTCTGTCTTTAACATTTTCCTGTAAGGACACCAGCCATACTGGATGAGGGCCCACCCATATGACCTCATTTACCTTCATCGCCTCTTTCAAGGTCCTATCCCCAAATGTAGTCCCGTTCTGAGGTCCTGAGGGTGAGGACGGCAACATATGAATGGAGGTGGGATGGGAACACAACTCAGCCCATAACACTCTCTAATGGGAGAAGCAGACGTTCATCCAGCGGTTGGTTACAAAGCTAGGTCAATTTGTAGCTGTGTTCTCGGGGTTTGACTGAGAGGCTTCTAGGAAACCTTCACTGAGGAAGTGACATTTGGGCTGAGCCCCAAAAGAAGGGCGGGAGTTCAGCAGGGAGAGAGGGAACAGCAGGTCAAGCAGAGGGCAGAGGCTGTAAGAGATGAAAGATGGCAGTTCCCTGCAGGGCATTGGAGAGATGAAGGGCAGCCGGGTTGTTGGAGGGAGGGGCCTCCAGGGACGGTGACACCCTGCATCGGTAAAAATCACCGGGGCACCCCTTAAAAACACAGATCCTGGGCCCTCACTCCAGGCCCCCTGAATCTGAATCTCCAAGGGAGGGGGCTCAGGTGTCTGCATTCCTTCCCACTGTCCAGATTTTGTGATTTTGAAAAATATCAAACTTGCAGAGAAATTGAAAGCAAAGTGCAAGGAACACTAGGAGAGCCTTCACCTAGATTCACCACTGGTGACTATTTCGGCACATTTCTGCTTTTCTTTCTTCCTCATTCACCCTCTCTTCGGCAGGCATCCCCTAAGGATGAGGGAAGGACCTTTCTTCCATAACCACAATACCGTGATCATAGCTCAGAGCATTAAGGTTAATTCAGTAATGGCATCTAATATATACATTCTTTACTTTTCATCCAGATCCAATCAGAGTCCACGCTTTATATATATATTTTTGGTTGTGTCCTTTTAATCTCTTTTAATCTAGAATAACTCCCCATCTTTTAAAAAAAATTAACTTTTTAAAAGAGAGTCTAGGCTTGTGGAATGCCCCACATTCTAGATTTGCCTAAATTGTCCTCATGATTAAAACCAGGTTAAGTATTTTTGGCAAGAATATGACATAGACAACGTCGCGTACATCATGTTACATCACATTAGGGCACGCGCACAATGTCAGGTTGTCCCGTTCTTGGCGATGTTGGGTTTGATCATTTGGCTCAGGTGGGGACTTCTGGATCTCTCCATCGTAAAGGTACATTTCCCCCTTTTTAATCAGTACATAATTTGGGACAGTCATCACTTGAACCACACGAATATTCTGTTATCCGGCAACTTTTTACTCAGTGGCTCTAGCATCTGTTGATGACCCTTGCCTCCTCAGTTGTTATTAAACTGGTGACTGCACAGTGGCATCTGCATTTTTAGTAAGTGCCCCAGGTGATGCTTTTACTCAGGAAATTTGCGAAACTCTGCTCAAGTCAAGGTAAGGGATGCGGGAGAATGGGAAGTCACCATCCTGGCAGCTGGAGGCATTGACTAAGACCTGCTGTTCTTTAGCATCAGCTACAGTGCATATCCCGAGGCCCCGAACGTACTACACCGAAGAATGAGGAAGGAGTGCAAAGGACAGGCCTGGGAAGCAACATTTTAACACTCTTCCTTCCCTTCCCCTGGGTAATTCGGTGCTTCCCAAACATAGACTTAGGTAGCCATCCTTAGCCTGGCTGCACATTGCATTTTCAGCTCACCTGGGGAGTTTTTGTGATCCGCGTGTATATGTGTGTGTCTAAAGGTAGGAGCCCCACCTCCGGAATCTGATTCAAATGGCCCCGGGGTAGAGCCTGGCCATCAACCTTTCCCAAAGCTCCCTCCGTGATTCCAACATCCTGCCAAGGTTGACAGCCACTCACTGGGTTCCGAGGGTTCTCTGTAAACTGAAGATAAAAATGAAAACCCATCTCTCCCCTCTCCTAGTGACCCTGAAACTCCCAGTGTTGCAGGACTGAGCTCACCTGCTAGCTGAAAACATCTGGTGCTCCCTCAACACCTCTATGGGGCTCCCACTGTGTGCAAACATTTCTGACTGTGCTCTTTGGGAAGCTTACTAAAGAGGTCAAAGAAAGGTCACTTCCCTCAAAAGCACGAGGACGTGGGAAAAAATACACACACAAACACATGCAAGTCTTGTACAAAAGGAGTTTCGCAGACCAGGAAACTGGCCCTCTGGAAGGGGAAATGACCGCCCGGCAAGTTCACGGTGGAGCCAGGACCCTTAGCCAGCGTGCCTTTCTACCACTCTGGCTCATTTTCACCTGAGCCCATGCTGCACTTGCCGCATGTCTGTTGGTTGGGCCTGGCCTGCCGCCAACACCTTCACCAGCCACCTAGCAAGGCTCACGGGGGGCCAGGCATTGGACTCAGTATTTGCTAAATGAATGAATGTAGCTGGCCCAACACCTTGCCCACTGGCTGGCATTAAGAACCAGTGGCTCAGATAACCTTGAAAATGAATCCCTTTGGGCTGGATTAGCTCATTTTCCCACAGACTCAGGAGTCTCTGGGCCTTTCTTCTTCTGGAGTCCTTGCTTTACATCAGAGCAAACATATAATGCACCCCAATTCTACCTTCCGTGTCATGTATATGTAATGATGAGTTCGCTTGAGCTGCACTTGACCAGTTAAACAAAAGTTATTGTAGATATTTAATTCTATATTTGTAAACGCTGACGTTTCAGATTTTATGTATTGGGGCCAATCCATTTATTTTTGGGTCCAGTGGAAATGGGACCATTTCCAGTGGTCTGTTAGAATGCTCCTTGGCCTTGGACTGTACCCTAATGTCTCAGAGACTGTAGCTGAACTCAAAATAAAGGGCAGGGGGACAGAGGCTTGGAAGGCATGGTCAGTGTTGCTTTCAAAGGACCAGTTAGCTTCTTTGGGGGAAAACTTTACTGCGATAGAAGTCACATACCATACAATTCACCCATTTAAAGTGTACAATTCAGTGGATTCTGGTATATTCATGGTCGGGCAACCAACACCACATCAGTTTTAAAACCTTTTCATCACCCCCCAAAGAATCTAGTGTCCTTTATCATTCATGCTCCACTTGCCCCCCAAACCCTCTCCCAACTCCAGACAACCGCTGATTGACTATCTGTCTCTAGAGATTTGCCTCTTCTGAACATTTCAGACCAACGGAATCACGCAGTATGTGGTCTTGTGTCTGGTTTCTTTCACGTGGCACAATGTTTTCAAGGTTTATCCATGCTGTGGCATGTGTCAGAACTCCATTCCTTTTGATGCCCAAATAATACTACATGGTATGGATATACTGCGTTTCATTTATCCATTCATCATTTGATGGACATTTGGGTTGTTTCCACTTTGGGGCTAGTATGAAGAATGCTGCCGTGAAGGTTCGTGTACAAGTTTGTGTGCATGTATGCTTTTATTTCTCTCGGGTGTGTACCTACCAGTGGAATTTCTGGACTAGCTGGTAACTCTGGGTTGAACATTGTGAGGAACTGGCAGACTGTTTTTGAAAGCAACTACACCATTTTACATTTCCACCAGCGATGTATGAGGTTTCTCATTTCTTCACATCCTTGCCAACACTTGTAATTGCCTGTCTTTTTTATTATAGCCATCCTGTTAAGTTTGAAATTGTGCCTCATTGTGGTTTTGATTTGCATTTCCTCCACGGCTAATGATACTGTGTATCTCCTCATGTACTTACTGGCCATTTATATATCTTGTTTGGAGAAATATCTATTCAGATTCTTTGTCAAATTTTTAATTGATTTATCTACCTTTTTATTATTGAGTTGTAAGCGTTCCTTATATATTTTAGATACAAGACCTTATCACATATACGATTTGCAAGTATTTCCTCCCATCTTGTGGGTTATCGTATTAGTTTGCTCGGGCTGCTGTAACAAAATAGCACATTCTGGGTGGCTTAAACCACAGAAATTTCGTTCTCACAGTTCTGGAGGCTAGAAGTCCAAGATCAAGGTGTCTGGAGATATGGTTCCTTCCAAGGTTTCCCTCCTTGGCCTGTAGATAGCCATCTCCTCCCTGTGTCTTCATGAGGTCATCACTCTATGGGTACGTCCCTGATGTCTTTTCCTCCTCTTAAAAGGACACTAGTCGTACTGGATTCAGGCCTCACATTATGGGCCTCAGTTTAATTTAATCACCTCTTTAGAGACCTTATTACCAAATACAGTTACATTCTGAGGTACTGGGGGTTGGGACTTCCACATGTGAAATTTGGGAGGGGGACACAATTCAGCCCACAACAGTTATCTTTTCACTTTCTTGATGGTGTCCCAATTTTTGTAACACAGAAGTTTTTTTTTTTTTATTAA